AGAGTATATCACTGAACTGGGATATTGCTACAACTGTGACTAAACTACTGTACCAAAACATTAAGAGAGGCAATAAAACTATGAGAAAATTACCTGCTCGCGTTGCAAGCTACACATTTGCAAAGCAACTCGCTCATTCGGTATTTGACCCATGACTACCCAATTCAAAATTCGTGGAAGTTTGTTTCCAAGATGATCAGCAAAGTGACCATCCAAACTTGAGCAGCATTCATACAACCAAGTCTGTAAAGCCAACGGGAAGCCACCGAGTCTATAAAAAGAAGGCTTATCTTGAAACTTATTGGAACATGAGTCAATTGTAGCTTTATAAACATCTATACCCCCGGAAAAATTATTAAAATCACCGCACTCAACCAAGTCAATGTAAGACCGTGAAATAACCTTTGTTTTGAGTTGAGAAAGTAAGAAGCTATTCACAAAATAAAGAACTGCTATCTTCAACGCATCATCATCTGTTTCCCATTTCTTCTTCTTAAAACAGTCTGCTAGTTGGGCAAATGTCACGGATGCAGTTCCAAAATAATTTGAAATCAACCTATTCTCTGCTATGCTCTCTATACTTGTATCACCCTTACATTTCAACCCAGTAACAAGTGCAAATTCACCCAAGCCAAAGCGCAACCTAGAATCATTCACTACAAACAGCGTCTCATTTTTCACCTCATGATGTACTTATCTAATAAGCAAATGGTGCATAACCCGAATCTGTACAATAACTGGTGGCAGATCCAAAAAATAGCCAAAGCATGTTTTCTTAAACAGTCGAAGTTGCCTCTTTGATAAATTCGCTTTCAATTGATGAATAACATGGCAGTTGGTATCCCAATCAACCTTTGGTTTATAATCTAAGTCCATAGGCACAAGGAAATCCCAACACTGCAAAACATGTTCATATAAAATAATTTCAGAAATAGAATTCACTTAAAATGCAACTAAACCAACTAAAAATATTACAACTACCATACGATACCAATACGACATATAACTATACCAGCAGGGTATACAATTCTACTGACTAATTTCCGGCAACTACAAATTTTACTTATAAGGAAACAAAAGGAAAATAGTGTGGGAACAATTTGCAGCAATACTAAGTGACCATCAATGCATAAACTTACTTTAAGTTGTTTCATTTGAAGATGCATATTCAATATTACTAGGGAGGGAAAGCCAAAAAAAACTTAGCTATTAAATCTACAGTATCCGGAAACTATTCTATCAAATACATATTTTAGAGGATAGTAGCAAAATACTTTTCATCTTGCATATTCTTGAGATTACTAAGGAAGTAAAAGAATAGCATAAACTCACATCAAATTGCACTACAAGATAGCTAATATTCGACAAGGAACTTATGCTACAGTACCAGCGCTTCTCGCCCATTGACCCCATCCACACAATGCCACCTATAAAGAAAAGCTCATTCTGCACTCCTAACTTACACGGTCCCATTCCTTCCATGCTTCTCTCCACCA